GAATGTTGTATATATGAATAATATATAAATGTATGTATGTATGTTCCTGTTCAACGAGAGGCTCTTTGTCTCGTTCTGCTCTGTGAATAAACTTTGTCCCATTTCTCTGGGTGTGTTTCCGCGTCTGGTTCCTATTGTTCACGTGCAGTTGTTTGGACTTAAAGAAACAAAATGTCACCAGGCTCTACCAGTCGTTTCAGTGTAAGACGCCCCCTGGTGGATTTCTGAACCCTCTGTTAACACGTGTACTGTTTTTTTTTCCAGATGTGGGGGCAGAGAGCAGCAGAGTTGGCTGACGAGCAGCCCGGCCACCACATAGGGGCAGCGCCGTGCATTGTGGGAGAACTCCCCGACCAATCACATCACTTGGCTTCGGCTCAACACAGTTTTAAGTGGATGTGTTGTCGACCTCAGTCGTCTGAACCCGTCCAACACCAGACCCGCCTCGTGTAATTCCATGTTACAGTAACTACACATACACAGAGGAGGCTACTTTCAGTAACATGGGTTTAAGTTCATGGTTTTACTTCGTTCTCACTGGGTTCACCCGAGGAAGGCACATGCACGGCGAGCACGACACACACACACAAACTCACTCACTCACTCACTCACACACACACACACACACACACACTCACACACACTCACACACACACACTCACACACACTCACACACACACACTCCTCTCTTCGTCTCTAAACCTGATCTGGAATTAAAGCACAGTTATCTCCACTATCCTGTGCGGAAAAAAAACTCAGCCACAAACTGTGATTATTGGCCAGATCACTAATCCTCCTGGAATTTGATTGGCCACCCCTGGTTACAGCCCCCCCCCAACCATTGTGATGGAGTCGTTGGTTCATGGAACAAAGAGTCGGGAACAGAAACATGAAAAAAGCAGAGAAGCAGAGACATGACGGATGTTTTGTGTCTTTAGGTTCGTACGTGTCTTTGTCCTGCTCCTGCTGTTAAAGTTTCTTGACCCTCCTCCACCTCCTCCTCCTCCTCTCGGAGTTTTCTGCACTGACTCGATCTGATTTTACCACAAACACAAGAGTGAGATCATCAAACGGCTCGTAATCCCAGTGAAAGAGTTCTAGCGCCCTCTAGCGGCCATGTTGGCAGGTTACCACAGGCCTCCAACAACAACTGCCCGAACAGACGACACGTCAGAGCTCAGAGGAAAAGATGATTTATATGAATCTACTATTAAAATAACAATGACTGAGCAGTACTTGTAGTTGAGCAGAAACACACGAGAAGATAAACTGTTTGAACTGAACGGTGAATATCTCATGACGGGTTTCGCCACGTTAGACTTTTTATTTTATTTAAAATCAAGGCTCCATTTTATATGTTTGAAGAACAAGGTAACTGATCACAGACTTTTCCAACTAAATTCTACTAGATTCCAGAGATTTGCACGCACTCTGCTCTGGATGGAAAACGAAGCAAATGGAAAGATTGAAAAAAAATCAATATCGTCATCTTTCTCTCAGGCGGCGACATGAAGTTTATAGAACGACTGTTGTTCTGAGTATACAGTATATACTGCGTACAGTTCTGTGTACTTCAAGTTCTTCATGTGAGGGTCTAACAATAGTCTACATTACGTTTCTCTGGTTTAACAGCATCTTGACAAGAGGTGAAGCTGATAAACCTCCACTGTGTTTCAGACCCGGAGGTAAAAGAAGTACTTTCATAAACAAACCTGACATCACAGTACGATGTCGATGAGTAAACCTGGTTGAAATGTGTGGAACGGTCCAGGATGTAGTCCGCCCCAACGTCAGCTCAACCGGTGACCCTCAGAGGAGGTAGAGGGAAACTGATTCACATGAGTTGTATGAAAGACTCTGTTCTCTGAAACCAGCACCACAATGGATTTACTGGATCTGTGAATAATTATATTTTCCATCAACACAGGTAAATAAAAAAAGTTCAAAACCAACGATTTCAACTGTGAATTTTATGAAATTCAAAGCAGAAACAAACATAGTGAGTCGGTCCTTGTTAAATAAGTTGTGTTGAGTCAGTGTGACTGATGTCACATGTGTTGGTCACCGGCAGCAGCAGCTCAGGAGTTGGCTCCAGTACGAGGTCCTCTGTAGATCTGGATCCTGGACTCTTCATCCAGCTCCTCCACGATTCTCTCCTGTTTCACCGACATGATGGTGTAACTGACTGTGACCTCCGGTTAAAGGAAAAACTCCAACACAAGCAAAGTGTTTTTAGTGTCGAGACGATTGTTCCCTGTTTTAAATCATCATATCATGTTCCTGACTGAGGGACCAGACTATGTAAAGGTGAGGGACCAGTCTATGTAAAGGTGAGCGACCAGTCTATGTAAAGGTGAGGGATCAGTCTATGTAAAGGTGAGAACAGGTAAACAGTGAGGGACCAGTCTATGTAAAGGTGAGGGATCAGTCTATGTAAAGGTGAGGGACCAGTCTATGTAAAGGTGAGGGATCAGTCTATGTAAGGGAAAGAACAGGTTAACAGTGAGGGACCAGTCTATGTAAAGGTGAGGGGTCAGACTATGTAAAGGA